CAGAAGAACAGTGAGAAATAGTACTGGCTAAAAATATATGTATGTGTTAAAATAACTGATTTATTTCCCAAGGAACCTGCAATTTGTTAAACTTTTTTATAGGATTCTGTGATTCTTTTTTTCCAATATAGCAAATAAATTAGAATAAAATCATCTCCTAGGATGCCTCCTTCATACAGCAGAACTAGAGATGTCCGATTTTTCTTGTCTGATATTTTTCTCTAATGAAGACATGTGAAAGAACTCTCCCATTTACAGATATAGTAGTAAAATGGTTTCATTAAATGCTGCTTATGGTTCATTATCATTACCACTGCTACGCACCAATAATTTCTGCTTCTAAGACTTAATGGTAGAAAAACAAGCATATTGTTTGTCGTGGTTTGTGTCCAGCTGTCCCCTCAAAGCCTCATGTAAGTCATGGAGCAGACACAACTCCAGGAGTAGCACGAGGCTCAAGGGGCGGGGCGAGAGGACCATGGAGGGGCTCGAGGGGCGGAGCCAGAGGATCAGGGTGGAGCTTGAGGGGCGGGGCCAGAGGGTGAGGGATGGGCTCGAGGGGCGGGGCCAGAGGGTCAGGGTGGGGTTTGAGGGGACAGGGCCAGGTGACCAGGGCGGCGTTCAAGGGGCGTGATCAGAGGGTCAGGGTGGGGTTCAAAGGAGGGTGCCAGAGGACCAGGGAGGTGGTCGTGGGGCGGGGCCAGAGGACTAGGGTGGGGCTTGAGGGGGCAGGGCCAGATGACCAGGGCGGTTTTTGAGGCGCCGGGCCAGAGGACCAGGAAGGGGCTCGAGGGGGGGAGCTTGAGGACCAGGGTGAGGTTCAAGGGGGCGGGGTGAGAGGACAAGGGTGTGGTTCTAGAGGGCGTGGCCAGAGGGCCAGGGCAGGCTCAAGGGGCGGGACCAAGAGGGTCAGGGCGGGGCTAGAGGGAAGGGGCCAGAGAACCAAGGAGGGGCCCGAGGGGCGGGGCCAGAGGACCAGGGTGTGGTTCAAGGGGGCGAGGTGAGAGGACCACGGTGGGGCTTGAGTGGACAGGGCCAGGTGAACAGGGCGGGGTTCGAGGGGCGGGGTCAAAGGGTCAGGGATGGGCTCAAGGGGCGGGGCCAGAAGGTCAGGGCGGGGCTAGAGGGAAGGGGCCAGAGGATCAGGGAGGGGCCCGAGGGGCGGGGCCAGAGGACCAGGGTGTGGTTCAAGGGGGCGGGGTGAGAGGACCAGGGTGGGGTTGGGGATCGAGGGGTGGCGCCAGAGAGGCAAGAACCATTAAACTAACTGGTGGTGCGCTTCCCCTAGACTGGAGGCCTCTTGGAGGTGTGGAACGGGTCAACCTGGAAGCCAAGGCGCCCAGCCTGTAGTGTGGGGCTGCAGTGTCTGAAGTCTTGCTGCATAATTCAGGCTGCTTCAAACTACGAAACCTCCAGTCACTGAGCTAAGTAAACCTTCCTTCATTCTCAGTGTTGGGTATTTGTCCTAGCAACGAGAGAGGAGTAGCTGAGAAGCTGAGTAAAGAGGAACTAAGAAAAGCACGCACACTGTTGTCGGATTGCCATTGTCGTCACAGTACTAGGACTTGGAGATAGTCATACAAAGAATTTTAAAGGTACTACCCAAGATTCCTGGCCTCCGGTTATTCAGACTTTGATAGAAAGACTAGTGTTATAAATTTTTGCAGATACAATTAAAGTCACAAATATTTGACTTAAAATATGGATGTTATCCAGTTTGATCTATCAAGTGAGCACATTAAAAGCAGATAGTTTCCTCTGGGTAACAGCAGAAATGTGAATGAGAGGGGTGAGAAGCACAAGTAGGACTCTACACAAGCTCTCTGGCTTCAAGATGGAAGGAGACATATCGGAAGAACTGTAAGCTTCCTTTAGGAAAAATAGAGAGCCCGTGTGTACCTGCAAGGAATCAGGTGCCTTCTTCTAACCTGCAACCATTAGGAGCAAATTTTACTAACTGAGCATGGAAATGCTACATTTTCCACAGTCCTAGATAAAAACCCAGCCAGGGACATGTGAATTTCAGTCTGGTAATATCCCAATTACAGATGAACACAAGTCATGTGGAACTTTGGTTGTAGAGAAACTGAGGTAACAAACAGATATATTTTTTTAAGTTGATGATTTTGTTGCTCTTGTTAGGTTACTGTGGAGAACTCATAGATGAGCAATGCTAGAAAAAAATTCTAGTTTGCGTAGTGTTTGGAGTAATGCATTAATGGGAGAGTGTCCTTTTCAGTTTTCCCATTGCTAGGTCAAAATATCTGACACATGCAATTTAAAGGAGATGTTTAACATGGCTTAAGGTTTGAAAGGTTTCAAAGATCACCTGTTAGTGAGGCAGAAACATCGTGGTAAAAGAGTATGGTGTACAAAGTCGCCCACTGAATACCCAGTAGGAAAGAGTACAGATGAACTATATTTAAAGTCGGGCCAGAATCCAAAGATGGCCAAAGATGGGCCACCCCATCCAACAAGGTTCTCCTTCCTAGAAGCATGCTCAGATGTACACCATGGTGGATTGAGCACTGTTGAGCTGTCCCTGTAATCCACTCATCTCCCCTAATCCAGTCACCTTAACAAGATTAACAGGGACATGTCGTGCACCTAGAATATTAAAGCAAAAACCCTTTCAATCGGTTTTTAAATATTCCACTGCTTTGTGGCACTTGAGGGCTTGTTGGTCATTCAATTTATGCTTTTCATCTTTTGGGATATTCAAATTCTGATTAAATGTACCGCTGGTTTTTTCCTTAGGGATCAAAAATTAGCATGTGATTTTCACTATTAAAGATACATTAATGTTTATACTTTTAAATTGAGTCAAGAAAATATTTATATGTCAAGCTGAGGACATTTCCACAGAGGGTTCTCTATTTGTTGCATTACAGAATATTTACATTTAGCTCAATGTCTCCGAATAGTGGCATATAACAGATGATGCAAGGAGAAAAAATGAGTTAGATAAAATACACAGATTGGATTGAAAGATAAAAATAGGTGTAGAAATATTGAATTTTGAAATGTTATAGGTATATTTCTAATTGCCTCTTCTAAATTTATTAACTCAGAAATAGATTATATAATGGTGAAATGTGTGATAGCAAACCATAACAGTGAATTTGTAAATAACTGAACACTTTCTTGGGGGCCAGGGAGATGGCTCCATGGAATAAAGCGCTTCCCTGGCAAGCGCAAGGGCCTGAGTTCAATTCCCAGTTCTGCAAAAAAAAGAACACTCTCCATACTGTAGATGAAAGAATAAATATGTAAAACATCTTTTAAGGTTAATTTAATAACATGTACTAACATTTAAAACAATTTACACAGAACTCTTTTTTGTGAATTTATTCATAGATGCACTCTCCCACATAAACAAAGTTGTTCACTATCAAGCAAGAGTATTTTTGTTGCTTTGGTGTAAATGTAAATACATATATTTATGTAATGGAATGTTACCTGGTTTTTAGAATCAGTACAGGTGTGTTTACATTAGAATATCTGCAAGAAACATTTTTTCATGAAAAAAGAAAAGTTTAGAATAGCTACTATTGGGGCCGGGGAGATAGCTCAGTAGGATAAGCACTTGCCTGGCAGTGCAAGAGCCTGAGTTCAATCCCCGGTTCCAGAAAAAAAAAAAAAAAAAAAAAAAAAAAAAAAAAAAAAAAAAAAAACAAAAAACAGCTGCTATCATTTGTACTTAAAACTATATGCTTATATTTATGTTTACATATACAATGGTAGTACCTATATAAATGTAGCACAAGTGTCTAACTATTTGTGTAAAAGTGGAGAGATGATGAAGGCAAAATTTGTTGGTTAGGAAGAACTTCCTAAGTGTATACATGTAACTATTGTTTCTGGAAAGTAAAACTAGGTACCTTAAAGCTGAAGAAAACTCACATTTCATTGTGTATCATCTTGCCTTGCAGTTTGTCACCAGGAGCCTGTATTATCACTATATATATTTTAGGTACATCAGATTTTTTTTTTTTTTTGGTGGAACCAGGGATTGAACTCAGGTCCTTGCAGTTGCCAGGGAAGTACTTATTCCACTGAGCCATCTCCCCAGCCCCTACATCAGATATTCTTATAAAATGTTTGTTATGTCCTCATCTGATTATTATATTATCCATATTTTCAATTTCTCTACATTTTTCTCTTCTTCAGGCACAAAAATATACCAAGTACCTAACAAATTGAGTAAAGGTCCAAAATGAATTTATAGTTCGATCTCCGGTCCTGCATGCCTTGCAGGCCTTACCCCCAGGGCATGCTGAGCTAGCTACAGAGTCTGGTTGTGGTTGTACTTGCCTGCAATCCCAGCACTGGGGAGGCTGAAAACAGGAGGATCACTACGAGTCCAAGCTGCATAGTGAGACCCTGTACCCAATACATAAAGATGAAAAAACAGAACAAAACAGAATGAATTTATCTAATAGGCTATTATTCAAAAGCTGGAGTTAATGGATACCGTCATTTGGATACAGTTGTTGCAAGTATAACAAATATGTCCTCACAAAATCATTTTAATTTTCAGACATTTTTCTTTCTTTCTTTGTACTCTTTAAAGATAGGAAAAGAAACATGCATTAGTGAAAAAAATGTTTAGGCAAGTTTAACTAAACTATCTAAATCTTTGAAAAATAACTAATTGCTCAATTTCAATTTTTCCTTATTATATACTCAATTTGAAGTTAGATTGCATGTGACTTTCTAAAACTTACAAGTTATATGTAATTTATAAGAATTACTATGAAATACGTTCTGTCCTGTAGTTTGTTCTTTCTCTACATTTTGTAGGTTTATTACTAAATCATCTGGTATACTTTAAATTATTAGGTTTTCATCATATCTTAACACTTCTAGTTGTACTTGTCTAATCATTTAATCTTTCAATGTTCAATGTGAGAATATTATTGTGAAGTTTTGTTTTGAGAAAAAAAGTCCGAATCATTTTGATGTGGCAGACACCATAAGGCTAATTATCTTATCTGAAATTAGACCAGACTGCCAATAGGCAAACGAGGTAGACACATATATGCTTGTGGAGTTTTGCTGAGGTTGATGGGGTTTCCATCCAGTCGAATATCCTCTAGGGCCTTGCGAATATATGTCAAGTTTTTAACATTGCAGAAAGTATCTTCATGCATCTCCAGAATGTTGTTATTCTAAAATAAAATAAAAAATTATTAGACAATGTGTAACATATATGTAAAATCAATTGGTATATAGTCTACTTTATTACACATGCATTTTTATTCATTTATGTCTTCTCACAATCAAAACTAGGTATCACGTGAATATTGTATGCCATGCAATTGCCATTTAATTAGAATAAATTTTTTAAGAAAGGCCTACAGTTCCATTTATGGAGCCTAAACTTCACTAAGGCAAATAGAGAATAAGTAAATAAGAACAACTTAAAAGCTAATGAGTACAGGGGCTGGCAAGATAGCTCAGTGGACTGTAGTTCCTGCCTAGGCAAGCTTAGGCAAGTGCAGGGACTGTGGTTGCAACCCCGGCACCACATGCCACACCAGTGATGCCCCCAGGATGGGTTGAGCCAGCCACTGAGACCAGGCATGGTGGTGCACTCCTATAATCTCAGCACTGCAGAGCCTGAAAACAGGAGGATCACTATGAGTCCAAGCTGCATAGTGAGACCCTGTGACAACCAAATACATTTAAAAAAAAAAAGGACAACACAACAAAACACTAATAAATAAAGTTAAAATTTCAAGTCCATGAACACTTCTGTTCATGAATAATGTGGTTTATGGACAGAAGCTTTATTGAAGATTTTTCTTTCATTCGCAAACTTTGCCTAGGGTGACAAGACCCTGGGCATCTTTCCAGCATGGATATGAATGCAGCCATCTTAACCAGAATTCTGGAATGAATTAAGCTTGTGAACTGAGGTGTCACTCTGCTATGAAGAAAGGATGTTGGTTCTAAAAAGTCATCTTAAGATATAACAATTGAACCAAGTAAGGAAAGAGAAGACAGTCATGCGAAGAACTAAAAGAAGTGTAGTCCGCACAGAGAAAACACAAAGTTCAAAGTAAAAGGAGGCACATAAAGTCCCCTCCTTCAGCAATGAACCTATCACTGTGTAGATGGATGAGGCGAAAGTGACATCCAATAGGAAAGAAGCAAATATCCAGAAAGACAAGTGGAGCTCAGGATTGGAATCTACGAAGTCGTTTTTGTGAATATATTTTATGTACTATCATATTCATATACTGTGCATAGAATGTTCAATCTAATCGTTTTAATGCATTCATAATTTTGCAATCTAATTTTAGAATCCTTCCAAAACCTACAAAAGAAATCTCTAATACAGTACACTAACACTAAGTCTCCACTTCACCTTCCCTCAGTTCTCTGACAACTGCTCATCTACTTCCTGTTTCTATGGATTTCTCTACTTGGGCTTTTCAAATAGAAAGTGCTATGGCCATATCATATGTTATCTTTTGTGACTGACGTTTTCAGCTAACATCATGTCTTCAAAATTCGTACATACTGTAGCAAACACAAGTATTCTATTCTTTTCATTGCCAGAGAATTTGCACTATCTTGACATTGCATATTTTTATTTTTCTATTCATCAGTTACTGAAAATTTGGACTGTTTTCAAATCCAACTTTGATGTTTATGGAGAAAGTCTTACAGCAATCACAAAGAATGCTTCCATGAACATTTTTACATAAGTTTTGTACGCATACATGTTTTTAGGCAAAGCAAGTGAGCATATGAGGTGTGATCTAAAATTACAGCAAATGTTTAATCTTTAAACATCTATTACTGTAAAACACAGATTGCCATGAATCTCTCTAAAAATTTTCCCTACTTCTGTCATGCTTATTGGCTACTTTATGAAACAGTTCTGGAAGTCCTCTTTCCTGTAATAGGATGTACTGTTACTGCTGCCTTGATGTTGGAATTGATTCAAAACTTTTGTCTTTCATGATCATTCTGACTTTAAGAACCAGAAGGTGTAAGGTGCCAGAGTTCGTGAATAAGGTGGGATGTATGCCTGGCACTTGGCAGCAGAATTCACTCTTTTGTTTTATTTACCTTACCTCATAAAAGCATTCAAGAAAGTAGACTTCCAGAAACCAGCAAGAATTAGGTATTAAGTATACTGAAGCATGGGGGAGTAATTTGAGGAAGATTAGTGGTAGTGTGTCTTTCACTTAATAAATAAGCCTATAATCCCAGCACTTGGGAGACTGAAAACAGATGATCACTACAAGTCCAGTCTGTGTCGTGAGAACCTGTAGGGCTGGCCAAATAGCTCAGAGGATTAAAGTGCCTGCAAGCAGGCACAGGGGCCAGGGTCCGATCCCCGGCATGCCATGCTGCCCCACCCCCAGGGTATGCTGAGAGGGTGAATGAGACTGGACATGGCGTTGTGTGCCTGTAATCCTAGCACTTGTGAGGTTGTAAAGAGGAGAATCACTACAAGTATGATCTAGTAGTGAGGCCCTAAAATAAAAAAAAAATTAGAAAAAGGAAAATCTGTAAACCCTGTACTAACTACATTTTTAAAAGTTTAGTGAATTTCTTATGATATGCTGTAAGCAAAATTGATAGACTAATTTTAGATTTACTTCTACCTTAATAATACTGTCTTCTGAGCTATGAAATTTTTGAAATCTTTTCTTTGCTTGAATTTTCTGCTTTCAATAATGTGTTGTGTTTAGTATAAAAGACTTACTTTCTTGTTAAATTTAGTTATAAGTATTTAAAGTAGTTTGACTATTAAAATACAAATTTTTAATTTTGTTTTCATTTATCGATAATGCATAAAAATGTAGTTGATATTTATATAGTCATCTCTAACCTGCCATATTAGTACACTCATTTATTAGTTCAAAAAATTGTGGTGGAGTACGTAAGATTTTTCTGTGTATAAATCTTGTCATCTGGAAACTTTTAGTTCCTATTTTGATATCATATATTTGTTTGTTTGTGCATTTATTTAACTTATTTTTGCTTATTTGCCCCAGCTAGGACTGCCCAGCACAATACTGAAAAGAAGTAGCGAGGTATTCCTGTCTTGCTTCTGATCGCTTTCCAGATTTTAGGTGTATGGGGCTGGGGATTTGGCTCCACCGCAGAGCACTTGCATAGCAGTCTGGAAGCCCTGGGTTGGACCCTTGGCACCAAAGCAACAACAAAAAATAAACCTTTAAATTGTTTAAAAAAAAAAAAAGAAAAGAAAAGAAAAACAATTCCACCAAAAAAGTCAATCAATCAATAAAATAAACCTTCCCAGATATTAGGCGTAGAGTTTTTATTTTTTTTTAAGAAAAAAGAAAATAAGTGTTCTTTATTGGATTAAAGAGGCTCCCATTTGTTATTTTATTAGAGTGCATTTATATTACATTTATATTACTTACATAATATTTTTATGTTGTCAGAATATGATCTATCACCTTCCTTGATCTTGAAATTCTGTACTATTCTTTTTTTTTTTTTCTTTGTATTTAGTACAGGGTCTACAGAGTCTCACTACACAGATCTGACTTGTAGTGGTTTTCCAGTTTTCAGCTTCCCAAGCGTTGGGATTACAGGTGCTCGCCACCACACCCAGTCTCAATTGCCATCTCAACACTCCCTGGGACCGGGGCCGGCACTGCATGCTGGGGATCAAACCCTAGTTGTTGAGCTCTGCCTAAGCAGGCACTTTAGTTCGCTGAGCTATCAGGCCAGCCCTCCGTAGTATTCTTAAAGTCCCTTAATAAATCCCTCTTAGTCATGTTGTTATCTTTGTATGTTGGTGAATTCATTTGCTTGTGCTCTGAGGAGGGCATTTGCTCTATACTCATGAAATATACTGATATTAATTTTTTCTAGGAGTGTCTATTTTGTTTTGTTTTGTTTTTTATTTATGAGAGAGAGAGAGAGAGAGAGAGAGAGAGAGAGAGAGTGTGTGTGTGTGTGTGTGTGGCCAGCTCAGCCCACCAGGGGGCAGGGCTGGCTGGCATGTGGTGCTGGGGGATTGAACTGCGGTCCCTGTGCTTTGCCAAGCTTGTTCCAAGTAGGTGCTTTAGACCACTGAGCCATCTCTCCAGCCCCTGTCTGTCTATTTTGGTTAGTGAGGTGAATGTTTTCAATTACTGAGTCTGTATTTTTCTTTCTATAAGTGTTTTCAATTTTATATTTATTCTTTAGTCAATTTTAGTAGTAACTTAAAATCTTCTGTTTTTTAATGTATTTGGTACAGGGTCTCACCATCCAGCTTGAACTCATTGATTGTCCTGTTTTCAGCCTCCCCAGCACTGGCTTGTCTGGTCTTTGTGGTCAGCTCAGTGTGCCCGGGGGCAGGGCATGTGGTACCAGGGATTGAACCCAGGTCCCTGCACTTGCCTAAGCAGTCCTTTAGTCTACTGAGCTATCTCACTGGTCCTAAAATCTTCTGAAGAAAACTCTGTACTATATACTTATTGATTAATTCTACCAAATGCTTTTTTTCTTACAAAATTTTAAAAGAATTTATGTTAGTCATTCAAAACTATTCAAAATAATTAAGAAGCTTTTCCTAACCCATTGTATAAGGTCAATATTAATCTCAACAACAAAGACACAGCTAAAAATGTCTCTCTATAACTACTTGAACTCTACTGTATAATTTGTTATGTGTTTCAGCTTTTAGTGTCTCAGATTACATTCTAACTTTTGGGGATTTCTTTTTTGAAAGGTTGGTAAAGGAAAATTGTTTAATATACATGTATTTATGAATTTCTCACGAGATTGATTTCTAATGTAAATCCTTTAAAATGATAACCTGCATTTTACTTTGTTTTTTGAATTTATTGTACCTAGGGTTTTTTTTTAACTTTGTTTATGGTGTACCCCAGCAAATATTCCTTGTGTACTTGAAAAGAATTCTGCTATTGCTGGATCAAATACTCTGGGGATGGCTACCAGTCTTATTAGAGTGTCATTGAATTCTGCTCTTTACTATTCAGATAGCTATTTGAGCTACTGGCACAAGAACATCATCCTAGTAAAGATCTTTTGTTCAAGCATTCTGTTCTAATTGCTATGCTTACTGTCATGACAAACATTTTGCATACACATCTTTAAAATAATTTATATGAGTTCTAAAGTTGCATATAGGTTGAAGACCATCAAACTTTGAACAGCTTTTTAAAGATGCAGTTGACATTTTTCAAAACTTATAACAGGCATGTATGACCAGTTATTTAGAAAGTCATCTCATAGTGTACAGACAAGCACATTATGCTCCAAGATAATACAGAGACTTGATCATTTTGTAGCTTCTGTACATCCTGGACAATGGTAATAAATTTAATTCATAACTGGAAAACTCAGTGCAAAATTTCTTTGATGATTCCATTTGCAATTCTGCCTCCAATCATAAACAAAGCAAAAATATAAAAATAAACTTAGCCCCAGAAAAAAAGATAGAATTATCTATAAACAGAATGTAGTCTAGAAAGAGTACACTGAGGAAGTAAACATGATCATAAAAATTAACAAAAGAGACAAGTTGCCAAGCTTCAGATAGATGTACACAAAAATGCTAAAATATGGGGCTGGAGAGATGGCTCAGTGGTCTAAAGCACCTACTTAGAACAAGCTTAGCAAAAGCATCAGGGACCACGGTTCAATCCCCCAGCACCACATGCCAGCCAGCCCTGCCCCCTGGTGGGCTGAGCTGGCCTCTATTTCTCT